AAAGTTGTAGTTGGGGCTAGCTCTCATATCAAAACTACACTAGATTTGTGAAATTGCCTGGCGTGGTCTTGAACAATTTCATTTTTGATCGTGAAGAACAGTGAAAAACATGCTAAGTATCTTGCAATGTATGCCGGGGAAACAACCCCTCCCCTGCTGAGAAAGTTCTTTGTATTGCTAACCTTCGAACAGAACCAAAACGTTGGAAAATTTCATTATGAATAATTGGCTGTGTTTCTGTAAAGGATAACTTATAAGATTACTGAAAACCTTCTTTTATCAGTGTGTTCAGAGTTTTATTTTCCTTTCTTAACATTAAACTCAACGACTTTTTTAAACGCACAGAAAATGCAAATCAACAGATTGCTTTACTGAATGAACTTTCCAGAGAGGATAGATCCCAAACACGGCGAAAGAAAGTCAAATTTTGACAAGCAATCTATCCTGCTGTGTGCGTGCTGCTGTTCGGTTTTGACACCATACTAATTGTCTTAAAACTAATAAATGCTTAGGTTTCAGTTTTAGTGTGCACGCTAGAGATCATCACACAAACCTCCAATCATATGATAATTCTTAAAAAGTCAGGTTCGAGGAGACAACTCGACGAAAGCCGCCTTGTGTAAAACTGTCTAATATTGCTTTTTCGTTGCTATGATTTAAATGATAGTAATACATAATGCATACGTTTTGACTAAAACCGAAACAAATCATTTGGCTTGAAGACCGCTTTTATAAAGCGCATTGTCCAACGTTATGATAAATAATTTATCCAGATATAGAGACTCGGAAAAGATCTTAATTCCGAAGGACGCCATTTGTTCTGGCGTTCAAACCGTCTCACGAGAATGAAAGAAAATGTTTTTGTGTACATTTTGCTGTTCTGGATCCAAAAGGTTTGTAACCATGCATAGTTATTTCTCTTGCTTTTAAATGATTTCATATTCAGTCAATAACTATACCTTGTTTGTCTCCTTAAGGAACATTTCGGAGTTTGGTTCGTTCAAGGTGAGTTTGCGTTTTCATTTTCTTTTACAACTTAATCATGTTATTCAGGGTCAAATTGGAAACAGCATTGCATGAAATACAATGTACGATCGTTTTTCAGACAGAATAACCACAGCAACGATAAAATGTTGACCATGGTGGAAATGGGATACAAATTAAACAAATTCATCAATGAACTGCGCTCTAGATTAATCAAAGAAATTTTGGTATCGAATCACGATTAACGATCTGATGCCAAAGTATCAAGGCAAGGTTTCTCCAAATTTAGACGAACCAGATTTCACTGTGTAAAACAACTGTAGGGGGCACAAAATTCCCATCGGGAAACTTCAGGGGCATTTAATATTCCTAGTTTAATCAAAACAATTTGTATGAACTGCGCTCATCGTTTCCCTTGAACAAACGCTAAAAATTATTTTGCCTCCACTTCTCAACCGGGCACTCGAAGTGTTGATATCTGGGCGCGTAAGCCAGCCAAACCACCTTACCGTTGATTTAACACCAACTTGATATCCTCGCAAAATTCTTTAACGATTGAAGGAAATGAAATGCACCAAAGCCGGAGACGAAAGCTCATGAAAACCATCAGGTGGAAAAAACGGGGAACGTGTACCCCTACCAAGGCAGTGGAGTCACCCTCGGGGTTTAAGAATTTTCTATGAATGATATGTTCTACACAGTTACTAAAAAGATATGCGAGTACAGCTCTGAGAAAAATCTAATGTAAACATACAATATTTCAGGAAAAAATAAAGGAATAAATAAATAAGTGAACATGTAGATTTAAACGAAGTCTGACAACTTAACGCGGCAATAGCTGACCGTAAGAATCCCTCGCCCAACGAACGACCTCAAATTACAAACCACGAATAATAACTCTCCGCGTTCCGCGCTCCTCGCACCCGCCACCACTCCTTTGATACGTGCCGGCAAAATATTAATTTATGCTAATTAGCATTATTACAAATTACATTTTACACGAAGTTATTCCAAGTGTACAGCATGGTTACTTATGTTTAGAAACTTCTGGACACCCACTCTATGGCAGAAGAACCATCGGATGGTTAATCGTATTGTGGTCGGCTTGGCAGAGCGTGTTTAAAAATTCCTAAATCCGTTGATTAGTGCCGGCGCAATGTTTATTTGATGTTTAATAATGGCCCAGCATGTTTTTATGGACTTCGTCAATGTGCGCCTCTTATTTTCAGGAAGCTGTGATTCACCCCTGGGACTTGAAGACCATTCTATTCTTGGCTCATACATATCAGCATCTTCCTGGTATAACGCATACCATGGTCCACAAAATGCCAGACTTAACTTGGTCCGGACCGCTTCTCACGCAGGCGCATGGTGCGTCAAGTACTACTCATCAGGCGAATGGTTACAGGTAAAAGGTACTTTATTCGATTCACAAGTTCTCTGATAGATTTACCTTGTTGAGCTAAAGACATGTACTAGGGGGCTTGTTTAGTAATCTCGGTAAGATCTTCAGCAGTTTTAGAGTCGGCGATTCCTTCCCTAATTTTCCTTCCCTTCTTCCTCATATCATTCCTCTTTCGTAGTCCATTTCACAGTTGCATGATTTGTTTTGTTGCCAGGCCTTTGAACGGGAGCGAGGCTAAGGGCGACTTTGTTATACTACAAACTTTGCTACTTTTTTACTTTTTGATCAAGCTAACTAGATACTGGTCTCTATGACAAGTCGCCTTCAGCCTCACTCCAAATCAAAGGCTTGGCTACTAAGCACACAACTGTAGAATGGCCTATTCCTTGAAGAAAATGACCCTTTCATCCAACGCATTTTTAATTCAAAATTTCCATCATTTAACCTACAGGTTAACTTAAGAAGGATAATGAAGATTACGGCGATTGCTACACAAGGGAGAGAAGACTATTCTCAGTGGGTTAAATCATACAAAATCTGTTATGGACAATCTCTGAGCGGCTTTTGTGAACCACTTAATCAGGTTATGTCACTGAGGCTAAATATCGGAAAAAGCTTGAGAACTAAGTGATGAATATTAAAATTAAAATTGCAATTAGTAAGAGTGAATTATAGTGTATTAACCTTAGAATCGCATAACTGAATAAAATCTCGCATTTTGACTGGTCAACGAAGTGTGATATTAAGCAGGGAATTGTGTGTTGAAAACGAGGCTAAGTGATACTGTTTTGTATCCCTTATCTCGCGCTCAGGATAAAAACGAACAATGTTACTGCTGTTTTCGTTTTACCTAATTTCATTCAATTATGCGAGTCAAGGAAAATCCATTACCTGAAGAGGGAATTCTGGGTTAAATTGCAATTTAATCCAGAATTCCCTCGTCAGGTGATGAATTTTATCAATATAATTAGTCATGATACGTTCAGGCATATAAGACTGAAAATCAAACATACAAAAAAGCACTGAGATTGCGTAAACAAACAATCATCAGGGTACTTTTAATGAATGTAAGCTGTCCGAATTTTTTCAGCCTTAGGCCTTTTTTTATAGTACATCAATTGGTTTTTTCACGAATACGAATACGCACAAAGTTGAGCAATACTGGTAGGGTACTTAGGCCTAAATTAAAATGTGTCTGTTGGTTTGTTGATCTATCATAGGTATTTGTTGGAAATGTTGACACAGGAACAGTGGTTACCCATCAGTTTAGCAAACCTCTCTATGCTCGCTTTGTGAGGCTTATTCCTGTAACATGGCAGAAACGCGCTTGCTTAAGGCTCGAGCTTTACGGCTGCAAGGAAGGTAAGCTAGCGATACAGTTTCTTCCTTTCAAAGCTGCTTCATACTCACAGACCTAAAGCAATGTGAACGGTGACATCTGTGAAAACGTCACTCAGCACAACCGAGAAAACAAAATCTTCTGGAAGTTAACCTGCAGAGACTATCAGAACTTGTTTTTATATCAAACGCTTTTCCATTTCCCTTGCGAAGCCTTTGTTGCGATAAAATCTCCTCAGAGTCACATGGAAATTATCTTTTGATCTCTAGAAATTAATGTTAACAACATTTAAGTTATTTGAAGTAACTTTGTCAACTAAGTTAAAATGAGATCTTGAGTATACAATCTTAATGTGATACATATGGCTATTTTACCTCGACAATAGGTTTCACTCCACTCTCAGGCCCTGTGTGTATGGAAAGTCTTGGAATGGAAACCAGAAAAATCCCTGATTCCGACATCACGGCATCATCAGTTTATGATTATCGATGCGCGCCCCACTATGCAAGGTTTGGAGAGTGTCGATAAAATAGCTGATACAGTCTAGTATGCGATGACTGGATCAGTACTACTTGAGATAGTGTTATGTTACGTGATCTGGTGTGATGTGCAAAATAAAACATGAGAGCATAAAGAAGGAAAGATATAGACGTCTGCACTAGGATTTCCTGCTCAGGGTCTGAACCAGAAACCCTCCTCTCCTTTCTCTCTAAACTTACCATCATCATCTTATTTCCAGTTTTCACTGTCACACCATCATCTAATCAAAACCATTCAACAGATTGGGTCTAAAATAAAAGAGATAAAGAAGATAAATATTCAAACAGTCACGCGAAGATTCAGGTCTGTGCGATGTTTTGTGTGGGAGATATTCGAAGAAATGTTTTAACAAAAGTTTTTAGGGCTTTGTATGGAGATGCCATGTTTGTGTCCCTCTGAGGGGCACAAATATGGCGGCTGGAGGCTAACAAAAACACGCGTTATCGAGTTTTGCCATAAATGGCAATGGCCTGTAGTCGTCTTCTGAGGGCTCATAAACATCTTTGTGAGCACTTTTATATTTTCATACAAGAACTGTTTAGATTGTGAAATCTCAGCGGATAAGTAAGTATTTTTTAAGGCATTTTTATGAAGTGAGCATAAGTTCATCTCTATAGTTTCGTGAGTGCTCGTAAAAGGTATCAGGTTTCCCCCACAGCGTCCAACGGGGTAGATTTCGAATTTGAACCCGTTGGGTACCAAGAGGAGACTTGAAAGATTTTCTGTCGGGATTTTTGTTGCAAGACTTTGTAAGACTTAGACTTCTCACGTTTCCGCTTTGCTCAGAAAATGTACAAGCACTAAGAAGCACGTTTAGACCGTAGTAGTCCCCCTCTACTAACTATGTTTAGACCCCTTGCACTGCTTTAATATATTTGCTTCCTCGAAAACTTCGCACCCCGGTTTGCCTTATGTCCTTACTAAGAGGCCGGATACCTCGAGTCTAAATTTAGCTTTAGAGGAATTAGCCACCAAATAAGGCTCACAGTCTCTTGTGTTGCTTTTCTCTTTCTCTTACAGGCTACACCGGCACGTTACGTCCAACAGCGTAGGAGGGTGGTGCGCAAAAGTTATTGATCCAAATCAATGGTTACAAGTGAAATTTGGTCAGCGGGTTGTAATCAGACGTGTGGCAACCCAAGGGAGACAAAATTATGACCAGTGGGTGACGTCGTATTCCTTGCGCTACAGCTCTGATGGCTTGGTGTTCCATCACTATCAAACGAATACAAATCAAACGGTTGGTTTATTCAGTTCTCTCTCAAAATCAGTTTTTACTGATTTGCCATATATTTGAGAGTGTGTCGATACCCGCTATGTTCAATATAGTCAGCTTTTTTTGTCTAGGTTTACAAAAACTGACACTCAGATCCACATTGGTGTACGGATTTTGTCATGATTCTACATGACAGAATTACGTGGGCTTGGGTGAGCGATGACAAAAAAATTATGTTACATCATCGCTATGAACTTCATCAACATTTCTTAGCCAACTCCTTTAAAGAAAGAGGCAATTCGTTTTGTCGAAAGTGTCAGCCAAAGACGAAATATGTGTTCCCCACCAGAAATTGAAACTTAGACTGACTTGAAACTTCCAATTCTAAATGCCAGAGGTTTCCTTACTGGTGGGAGACTAGGATTTTTCATTGTTTGACGCCCATCACCAGCCAGATACAATTGACTCTTACTTCAATCGACGACTGAGCTTACTTTTGGCAACTTTCTCATCTTGTTGATCCGCATGTTTCTTAACCTCACCTCCAAATAGGTATTCAGTGGTAACACGGATGATGGTACTGTGGTGAGCCATGTTTTGAACCCACCAATCACGGCCCGCTATATTCGACTTCATCCTGTCACGTGGCATAATCACATTTCTATTAGGGTGGACTTTTACGGGTGCTTTCCAGGTAAAGGGATGCGATAAAATTTTTGTTATATAATCGACCTGCATTCTAGCATAAGTTCTACAATCTGATTGACTAATTTATTCGCTATCTATTTACTCGCTATCTATTCTAGGACAGTGAGTAGAGTAATTAGCTGAACAGTGTATGGTTGTAAACAAAATGAAATAAAAACACGAGCCAGTCTCTTTGTTTGAACGACCGGTGGATCTATATTGAGAGCAGATTCGTGCAAGAATCAAACAAAATGGCAAATCTTCGGCAAAGATGATCAAATTCACTCGTCTTTTGCATATAGATAGCCTTTAGTAAGGATATGAATGCCATGCAATTTTTTCCTTGAAATATCTGTTAATTCCTGAGAAAAACGATGGAAGCCGTTTTCAGCCTAGGCAAAATTTTGCGATACCAAACGCGTGCGAACAGGTTGGAAATTAGTCATGATTCACTTGACTCGCTCGTCAAAATTGCTTCGCTAGAAAAAGCCGTCATAGTTCCAATTTGTTGTATAACTTGCCATTGTCTAAACACCATGATTTCATAAACATTAGATTTATCTGAGTATTCAGGAGAAGTAAAGAAGTTCTGGCTCTCCCGTGCTTCGTAAAACGGTAGGCGAAAAATAACGATAATTCTGAGCATGTGCCTTTGTAGGGAGAGCCATAAGCTTTTGACTTCTCTTGATTTGATGCATATCAATATGATGTATATCAAAATGGCGGCCGGACACGAATCTTTGAGCTCCATGGAACTAGTAATTTTGCTGCTTATGACTACCTTATTCCTTCATGGAAATGTCAACACTAGTTCTTTTATTCTACGAAGAGACGCTTCAGCCGGAATGGAACTCTGGTCGCTAGTCGTAGCCAACACAAGCTTACTGAATTCTCGCAAGACCACTCCAAGTCGCGGCCATGGAAAACTATACTTGTCTACGAGATTTTCTCACACTTCGAACGGCACAAGTAGCTTCCAAATCTACCGACTCATAACTGGAGGAGACATCCACCCAAACCCCGGACCTACAACGAAAATGTCCAAACATCCCTGCAAAGAGTGTGGCGAATGCGTGCGAGAAAACTCTAATGGCATGTTCCTCAACACATCGGATTGTGAACGAAAGGGAAAAATCAGTCTTAGTTCCAGACACAGAAAGTTAATCCAAGTAGTAAAATTTTTTGAAGTGTCCAATAGATATGTCAAATCTGTCAGACTGGTCTTTGACGAATGGACCAACTTTGAGACGAACTAGTACCATAAAAATTCATGTAAGCCAATAGGGTCTCTTTTTGGTCCAGGTTTGGATTGAGGATTTTCCTGATCGCTACGACTATCAGGAACAGTCTTTCCCGTCCAACATTGTAGTTTACTCACCTTCGGGTCAAGGTATTCATACACAGCCATTAAAGCTTTGTAGTTTGGGAAGCCTGTATGGCACTGTCGTCGTCTTTAAAGTTCTCCAAACTGAATTTCTTTCTTTCATTTTCATCTAACTGTTTTTTTAGGCGTCCCACTTCTTGCTTTAGAGTGTTAATGTGAAGAGATTGTCGTTCAATCCTCTCTTAAAGTATTTTTATATGATCTTGCTGCTCGCCAAATGTAACCTTCTTGGTGCTAAAAGAAAATGAATACGAGTGCTCTTCCCAGTCGTCTATGCATGATTCAATGTCCGTTTGAGCTCCTTTCACCATTACTTTGTGATTCTTCTGGACGAATGTCAGACAACTCGCCCCCTGGAAAATTAGCCCCAGACAATTAACCCCCAGCCTTAGATAATGTGAAGGAGAAGTTACGTTCATCTTTTGGTCATTGACTTTTATGAGTTTGTGGCTCCTACAAAAGGTTTTTTTATGTGAGTGGTTATCTTTATCAAGATTCACTTAGTTTAATTTACATGGGTTGCACGAGGTGAGGACAGGCCTCCACAAGTTCTTTTGAGTTCCTTTGGCCGTCTTCATATTGAATCCAGAGGTCGAAGAGTGTTCTCTGCATTGTTCGGATAGGTTGACCGCTGTTGTCTCTTCAGCTTTTGTCTGAAACCAGACGGATCTACATGTTGACCAATGTAGCTTCCTGGTGAAGTACCTGTATCAGGATGTACAGGGGCAGCTGTAATCAGTTATTGCTGAATAAGCTAATACGAGTATCCGCAATTGAAAAATCCCTTTTATACACATCCCAAGGATCAAGATTTTGACTTCGAACGAAACACGCCATTTGATTGGAGGAATCGTTAATTTAGAAAACAATGAGCACTGAATTGGGATGAATGAGATGTCTCACGTCAAATTTACATAAGTTCGCACGTTGCGCGTGGGTAATTCGGTAAAAGTTCGCGCATTTTGCGTGGCTTTGAAATAAACAACAAGGAATAAAATTTCGCACCTTGAGCATGGGTTTGAAATAAGCAAACAAGAATAAGTAAACGTTCGCACATTGCGCATGGGTTTTCAATAAGAAAATAAATAATAATTAGTAAAAGTTCGCACAATGCGCGTGGCGAGTTTGAAATAAACAAACCTCCATTGACACTAACAAGTAGTCGCTAATAAGCTAAAGTTTCGAAGTTTCGTTCCTGGTTTCTTTCCTTCCCATTTAACTTCTCGAAATAAACAACATGACGAAGAAACATTCGTAAAATATGTAAACAGAAGGAACACAGNTCAAGCAAATAACAAGAACATTGTTTAGTTCAAAATACATGATAGGGAAACGTTCGTAAAGTAAACAGCAAGAGCATAGTTTATTTCAAGGATGGTGGTTTGGGGGCTAATAGTCCAGAGACAGGGGGCTGATCGTCCAAAGACTGGGGGCTAATCGTCTGGGGCTAATTGTCCAGGGGGCGAGTTGTCCGGATACCTTCTGGAATTTCTGGACTTGCTCCTAGTGTAATGTTTATGACAACGAATTGCTTGAACGTGATAGCCACACACCGTCAGGACTTTCTAGTTCCATTTGCTCTTCATCTACATTACTCAAAGAAGTACTTGCCTTCCGGCCTCTGACGAACTGATAGGTAGTATGCATATCAAAATGGCGGCCGGACACGATCTTTTGAGCTCCATGGAACTAGCAATTTTGCTGCTTATGACTACCTTATTCCTTCATGGAAATGTCAACACTAGTTCTCTTATTCTACGAAGAGACGCTTCAGCCGGAATGGAACACTGGTCGCTAGTCGTAGCCAACACAAGCTTACTGAATTCTCGCAAGACCACTCCAAGTCACGGCCATGGAAAACTATACTTGTCTACGAGATTTTCTCACACTTCGAACGGCACAAGAAGCTTCCAAATCTACCGACTCATAACTGGAGGAGACATCCACCCAAACCCTGGACCTACCTGCAAAGAGTGTGGCGAATGCGTGCGTTCCAATTAGGATTCCCTACTGAGTCTTCAGTGTAATTCCTTCTCGCACACTAAATGCCTGAACTTAACAAAAGCGATGTTTAAGAGCTACTCAGATAATCAGGTCATGGACTGGAAATGCTCGCTATGCTCCTTGCCATTTAGTAATGGGGATTGTTCTTTTAATACGGAGCCAGATTTTTAATACATCAATGGATGAAAATTACACTAATGGTGGATATGCAAATGACGACGCTACAATCCTGGAACAAAGAAGAGATAATGCCAGGGGTGCATTCACTATGCATTTAAACATAAACAGCATCCAGAATAAATTTGAAGAGCTCAAAGAGCTGAATGATCATTAAAAGCTCACATCCTGGTAATATCCGAGACTAAGATCGATAGTTCGTATCCTAATAGCCAATTTACCCTAAACGGATACCACATGTATCGGAAAGACAGAGTAAAAGCTGGCGGAGGACTCATTGTCTATTTTTCCTCTGTTATTCCATCAAAGAAATTAACACTACCGAGAGCATACAAAACGCTTGAAGCTGTCGCTGTCGAATCCAGGATAGGGAGAACTGATATGGCATTAATTGCTATCTATAGGCCGCCTAGACCGTCTAGGAAAGGCAGAAAAATGCCACCCGTGGACAAGTACCTTCAAAAAGTAGAGGAAGAAATCAACGACATCTGTCAGTGGCTATGTTTTCAAAAACAAACAATCGTCATTTTTGGTGATTTAAACATGGACAGGTTACGACCTGACAGTGCTGAGGGAAAGATTCTAACTGATCTTCAAGAAATAACAACTTGGAGTGCTTGATAACAAAACCAACAAGAATATCAGTTCACTCACAAACGCTTCTCGATGTTCTGCTCACAAATACTCCAGAACTTTTTGTAATAAGTGGAATGTACGATGCAGGACTAAGTGATCACTGTATGGTATACGGAGAAATGAAAGAGAAAGTTCATGAACACAGAACGAAGGTAACTACCTATAGGCAGACGAGAAACACTGATTTTGAACAGCTCAACCACGAACCTCTAGAAGGACCGTGGCATGTGGGTGAAATATTCACTGATATAGATGATAAGTACGAGTATTGGACTGCCCTCCTTGAGTGCACAGTGAACGCACACGTCCCTATCAAAAGAAAGCGTGTGCGTGAAAAGGACTTACCCTATTTGACCTCAACTTGGAAAAAGGCGATAAGGAACAAGAGGAAACACACCATACTGTTTGCGGAGAACCGTACGCCAGAGAATATGGAACTTAAAAGAAAGTACAGGAATATTGCCACACGCGAACGGAGGAAGGCTATCATGGAATACTGGTTCGCCAAGTCAGAGGAGCTGAAATCCAAGCCAATGGAGTTTTACAACGCCTTTAGGCCATTTATTAATAGCAAAACTAAGGATTCCACCTTAATCAGTTTAAAAACAGAAGAGGGCAACATTGTAAAAGATCAATGCGAGGTAGCTGAGCAATTAATGAACTATTTCACCACAGCTGCTGTTAGAATTGTAGGAGACAATGCTATTTGCATCACAGAAGAGAACCGTGACAACCATGGCAGCGTTAAAGCTCTACGAGAAGCATACCTAGGAACGCACTTCGAGTTCAGTCGTGTCAGCAAAGATCAAGTGCAAAAGGCGCTTGAAAATATCAACCCCAATAAGTCCTGTGGGTGGGACCCCGGAGCACCGCCTAAACTCCTTAAGAACGTGGCCTGTGGAATTGCCCCATCGCTAATGACTCTCTACAACAGCTGTATCGAGCTGGGGCGATGGCCTTGTGCGTGGAAAATGGGAGAGTGGACGCCAGTGTTTAAAAAAGGTGACAGACAACTGGCGAAGAACTATCGTCCCATCACGTCCCTTGTTACCGTAAATAAGACATTTGAGCATATGCTCAGTAAGCAAATCACCGGGCACTATGATCCAACTCTCTATCAGAGAATGACAGCTTATAGAAGACATCATAGCTGTCAGACCACTCTACTTAGACTCGTGGAAGACTGGAAATCAGCTGTTGACAGAAAGGAACTGGTGTACATACTGTCTACTGACTTGAGTAAAGCCTTTGACTCTCTTAGCCATTCTCTAATCGTAAAGAAACTCGAGGCCTATGGCATTGGACAAAATTCTCTCAACCTTCTTAGATCATACTTTGACAATAGGCTCAATAGAGTGAAAATAAAAGGAGTGACAAGTGACTGGAAAAGGATGGTGCTTGGCTGCCCGCAAGGCTCGTCCTTTGGCCCCCTTCTGTGGAATTTGTTCCAAAATGATATGTCATTTCATATAAATAATGCTAATTTGAGCATGTATGCCGACGACCATCAGATGTATGTCACGGGGAAGAAGCATGACGTTGTCGCGCAAAGTATCAAGATACATGGAGAGAAAGCTCTATCCTGGTACAAGAACAACTATCTCTCAACCAACCCAGAAAAGTTCCAGCTATTAACGATCAACCCGAGAAATGTTGACAAAGACAACGATAATCAAAATTTTTCTGTTGATGGTCATACTATTAACAGAATGGGGGAAATACGGCTTTTAGGAGTTCAAATAGATGAAAAATTGAGTTTTACTAGTCATATCAGTGATCTATGCTCTAAGGCCAGTCAAAAAGTAGGGGTCCTAGTGCGGCTACGCAATTTGATACCCTGTAATGCTAAACTATCACTTTACAGGTCTTCAATTCTGCCCCATCTAACCTACTGTCATTTAGTATGGCACTTTTGTAATGCATCGGATCGGAGAAAGCTTGAGCGGATTCAGGAGCGAGCACTTAGGGCGGTGTACAAAACTAGATCAGCGTCCTATCAAGAACTGCTAAGTCGCGCCAAACTACCGACGTTGAACAATCGGCGCCTACAAGACATTGCCACTTTGATGTTTAAAGTTAAGCACAGTCTCGTACCTGAGAATATTTCTGACTTATTTAATATAAAGAACACTCAATATAATTTACGGAACAGTGACTTTGAACTGCCAAGATTCGAAACTGTAAGATTTGGTAGGAATTCTATTAAATATATGGGACCTCTCATCTGGTCGAAGTTACCAAGACACCTAAGAACGATAGAAACTCTAAATTCGTTCAAGAAGAACATAAGAAAAGTCGACCTTTCAACTCTCGTTGAAATTTAAAACTTAACTAAATAACTTTATAATCTTTTTAATTATCTACTGTAAATAACTATCATCTACATATGTAAATGTATNACTATTTCACCACAGCTGCTGTTAGCATTGTAGGAGACAATGCTATTTGCATCACAGAAGAGAACCATGACAACCATGGCAGCGTTAAAGCTCTAAGAGAAGCATACCAAGGAACGCACTTCGAGTTCAATCGCGTCAGCAAGGATCAAGTGCAAAAGGCGCTTGAAAATATCAACCCCAATAAGTCCTGTGGGTGGGACCCCGGAGCACCGCCTAAACTCCTTAAGAACGTGGCCTGTGGAATTGCCCCATCGCTAATGACTCTCTACAACAGCTGTATCGAGCTGGGGCGATGGCCTTGTGCGTGGAAAATGGGAGAGTGGACGCCAGTGTTTAAAAAAGGTGACAGACAACTGGCGAAGAACTATCGTCCCATCACGTCCCTTGTTACCGTAAATAAGACATTTGAGCATATGCTCAGTAAGCAAATCACCGGGCACTATGATCCAACTCTCTATCAGAGAATGACAGCTTATAGAAGACATCATAGCTGTCAGACCACTCTACTTAGACTCGTGGAAGACTGGAAATCAGCTGTTGACAGAAAGGAACTGGTGTACATACTGTCTACTGACTTGAGTAAAGCCTTTGACTCTCTTAGCCATTCTCTAATCGTAAAGAAACTCGAGGCCTATGGCATTGGACAAAATTCTCTCAACCTTCTTAGATCATACTTTGACAATAGGCTCAATAGAGTGAAAATAAAAGGAGTGACAAGTGACTGGAAAAGGATGGTGCTTGGCTGCCCGCAAGGCTCGTCCTTTGGCCCCCTTCTGTGGAATTTGTTCCAAAATGATATGTCATTTCATATAAATAATGCTAATTTGAGCATGTATGCCGACGACCATCAGATGTATGTCACGGGGAAGAAGCATGACGTTGTCGCGCAAAGTATCAAGATACATGGAGAGAAAGCTCTATCCTGGTACAAGAACAACTATCTCTCAACCAACCCAGAAAAGTTCCAGCTATTAACGATCAACCCGAGAAATGTTGACAAAGACAACGATAATCAAAATTTTTCTGTTGATGGTCATACTATTAACAGAATGGGGGAAATACGGCTTTTAGGAGTTCAAATAGATGAAAAATTGAGTTTTACTAGTCATATCAGTGATCTATGCTCTAAGGCCAGTCAAAAAGTAGGGGTCCTAGTGCGGCTACGCAATTTGATACCCTGTAATGCTAAACTATCACTTTACAGGTCTTCAATTCTGCCCCATCTAACCTACTGTCATCTAGTATGGCACTTTTGTAATGCATCGGATCGGAGAAAGCTTGAGCGGATTCAGGAGCGAGCACTTAGGGCGGTGTACAAAACTAGATCAGCGTCCTATCAAGAACTGCTAAGTCGCGCCAAACTACCGAGGTTGAACAATCGGCGCCTACAGGACATTGCCACTTTGATGTTTAAAGTTAAGCACAGTCTCGTACCCGAGAATATTTCTGACTTATTTAATATAAAGAACACTCAGTATAATTTACGGAACAGTGACTTCGAACTGCCAAGATTCGAAACCGTAAGATTTGGTAGGAATTCTTTTAAATATATGGGACCTCTTATCTGGTCGAAGTTACCAAGACACCTAAGAACGATAGAAACTCTAACTTCGTTCAAGAAGAACATAAGAAAAGTCAACCTTTCAACTCTCGTTGAAATTTAAAACTTAACTAAATAACTTTATAATCTTTTTAATTATCTACTGTAAATAACTATTATCTACATAGGTGAATGTATTTGACTTTTAAATTTTTAGTGTCCCCCATTAGCTTATAGCTTAAAACATAGACACTTAAATAAAGTTTTTCATTCATTCATTCATTCATGCGTCGTTTCGGCTTTGGATCAGAAGTAGTCTTCCATGGGAAGATCAAAGGCTCAGTGCCATTTTTGAGGCGAGATCTTGTGCCGCCGGGAGGCTTGTACATGTCTTCACTTCTAAAATGTTTTCCGCAAACTACTGTAAAACTATTAACATAAAAACCTCTTCCATGCTTTCTTTTTATCAAGTTACACCATCGATCTCGTTGTGGATTCCTTTGCAGGAATTTGAACATGCTTAGTCCGGTTGAGGCGCCATCTTTCTGAGAGTATTGTGCATCTGAGCACCCAAAACAAGCACAATCTCGGCCGAAACCCGAACTTTTTCTCTTCCTTGATTGCGCCATAGCTTTCTTAGACTTATTCTAGCGCAAAGTGATGTTTTTCAAGCTGTTTTTTTAACTTAAAAGATCAATATTATACACGAAACACGAATTCTCTCACTCTTCTTCTCTTTCTACGTAAAGACTACGCTGTGTTAGCCTCGTTTCCAATCCGCCCGCAAGTCAGCGGTCCTCCAAATGAGCACCAAGGACTCGAAAAGGGAGTATTGTAATGTTTTCTTCGCCTAGCATATGAGAGAATCGCCCACGCTGGGTGTATATTATCCCCTCAGCGAATAGCCGGCGACGAGTATCTCTAGGATACTATCTTATTTGTTAAGAGTATGGGATACCATCCAATGTTTTAAATTGTGGGATACAGTACTATCTTATTTTTTAAATTAACTCAGCCCTTAGCTAGTCTCCAAAGCCAAAATAGTC